ACAGAGTGAGACCCTGTCTCTAAAAAAAAAGAAAAAAGTCAAAAAATCAAAAGTAAATAAATAAAGGCCACTCCACCTTTTGAATACAATAATAATTCATGCTTATAAATTACTTTCCATTTACAAATTACATTCACATCAGAAATCTGATTGAATCATCAAAACAGCCCTGAAACGGAGCCATGACTATTATTACCATCGGGCACATGAATTCACTCAAGCCCAGAGAGCTAAAATGATCCACCCAAGGTCCCAGGATTTAGAAACACAGGCTTAGGGACCAGACAAACTTGAGTTCAAACCTTGGCTCTGCCATTTTCATTCCTTCAACAACTATTTACTGAGAACATAGCTGTGTGGGCTCAGGCAAGTGACTTCACCTCTCAGAGCCTCCATTTCCTCTTCTATGAAAGAGGCTTTGTACCACTCATCAAATTCATTCCTTCCCTCATCTGAAAATGCCAGACACTTGCTTTCTCGGGTTCCCCCACAGCTAGAGCATGAGCATGTGACCTGTCCTGGCCAATGGGATTTTAAAAGAATTCTGCTACAGTGCTCCTGGGAAAGGGTTTCCTCTCAGAAAAAAAGAGAAAGTGGCCCAGGCACTGTGGCTCACAGCTGTAATCCCAGCACTATGGGAGGCCAAGGTGGACAGATCACTTGAGGTCAGGAATTTGAGACCAGCCTGGCCAACATGGGTGGAACTCCGTCTCTAATAAAAATCAGAAAATTAGCCGAGCATGAAGGTGTATGCCTGCAATCCCCAGCTACTCAGTAAGAGGCTGAGGCAGGAGAATTGCTTGAACCCAGGAGGCAAAGGTTGCAGTGAGCTGAGATCATGCCACTGCACTCCAGCCTGGGTGACAAAGTGAGACTCCATCTAAAAAAAAAAGAAAAGAAAAGAAAGTGGAGCATAGGAGAAAATGCCTCCCTTCATGGGTTAAACATCACTGAATTTACATCTGAGGGCTGGAACTGGGCAGCCATCTTGTGATATGAAGCATCAAGCATGAGGATCAAGCCACTTGCAGGGGTTAGGGAACAGAGGAGCAGAGAGATGAAAAGAATCTAGAATCCTGGTGGCATCATTGAGCCATTAACTCAATCAAAAACCAGCTATCTTAGAAATTCATATTATGTTAAATGATGCATCTTCCTCCTTACTGAAGCTGCTTTGAGTTTTCTATTCTGCTACTTGCAGCCCAAAGCATGCCTAACCGGTATACTAACTGCTTGTATTGTTGGAGGAATTTCAATGAGGTAGCAGAAATAAAGTACCATTAATCAGTGCTGAGCACAACAAATATCAGCTACTCTGGAAATTAGGAAGTTATCTCAGGGCTTTAACCCTGCGACTATCCCAGGGATCACAGACATGCCTGAGCTGGCAAATCAGTTCCCTGTCTCTTACTGAGAAATCCTGTCCAGTTTTCCAAGAAAGCCAAAACCCCTTGGTATCCCCAGCATCGCAACCCTATCACCCTGATGGGGCTGACCCCTTCTTCTAAACAAGACTCAATCACACTGTGTTTTGCCTAATGGGTTTTGAATTTCGCTCCCCTGATGGCAAAACCTGGGGCCTGTGCTTTGGTTTGCCTCCAAGTTGCCAGAACACCCCATCAATTATTAACGGCGTCAGCTCAGTCTCCCTGGCACTGCTGCTGTCAGAAGGAAAGGGTTTGCAGCAACTCGGCCCACCCAGCCCTAGAAAAAGGACTCTTTTCCTTTGCATTTATAAAAACAGTCCCCACCTGCTACGTGCTGGGCTCTGAGCAAAATTTCGACAAATGTGATTTCATGAAGACTCTGCAAGGTGAGCCTTTTATCTCCATTTTACAGGTGGAAGGTTGGGACTTGGAAAGTTGGAGAAACTGCCTAAAGCCAAAAACTAGGGAAGTGGGGAGCGGCGCAGAACCAGATCCGTCCTTGCTCTTCAGCAGATGAGATACGGCCACTTTTGTACCTTACAACCACCCGGAAATGAGCCTCCATTTAGTCCTGTCAGTCTGTGAGTGCTAAGAAATTTCCACAGGCCTTGCTTATTTTGACAAGCAAGACATCCAAGCTGGGGGGATGGGTGGGGATGGGGTGGGCAAAGTGCAGATGACAGAAAGGAGGTGAGAGGCACAGGGACCTGGGTTGCAGGTGGGCAGTGAGAAGGGGTGACAGGTCCCCAAACCCTGAATGACTGACTGATTGCTTGCTTCATTAATTAGTTCATTCATTCATTCCACCTACAGTTATTTGGAGCTCCTCAGTGCCAGGCACCATGATGGGTGCTGGGAATCAAGCAGTGAATCAATTCATGGCACTCAAATTCTTGTGGGTGTGAAACAGAGAAACACGAAGAAGCAGATATAATTTCAGATGGTGCTTAAGGCCTCTGCAGGAAAGACAACGCCTGATGCAACAGAGAGTGAGAGGAGGGAAACTGTTTTGAACAGCGGTCAAGGAAGGTCTGTCTGAGGAGGGGACATGTGAGCAGGGACCTGATCAAATGAGGAAGGGGAAGAAGGGGTGGACCAAGGGGGGATCTGGGGAAGAGCATTCCAGGCAGCAGGAACAGCAAGTGCAATGGTCCTGAGGCCAGATAAACCCCGGCCTGTTTATGGAACAGCAAGGCCAGTGGGGCTGGAGCCGAGTGAAACAGAGATCAAAAGAGATGAGCTCAGAGAGGTCGTGGGGGCCAGATTCTGCTGGGGCCTTGTATGCCAGAATGAAAAGTCTGGATTTTATTTTGAGTGTGATGGGAAACTTCTGGAGGATCTTAAGCAGATGAATAATGTGAGCCAATTTACATTTTGAAAAGCTCACTTTGGCTGCTATGTGGGGAATGGATTGCAGGGGCAAAAGTGGAAGCAGAGAGACTGGGGAGAAGACTGCGGCACTTAATCATTATGGAAAAAACACCCGGGTTTGGATTTCTGGCTACTCCTGTCTGCCTGTGGTGTGACTTTAGGCAAGTTACTTAACCTCTTTGAGCCTCGCTGTTTGCGAAAGGTGGGATAATAACAGAGTTGTGTTGTTAGACTCCATACACAGTAGATGTTTGATCAATGGCAGCCAGGATTTCTATTCTGAGGGCCAGTGAGCCTGTCTGCCTCCCCATTTCAGCTCTGGCTGCAGAAAATCCTAGATGGTCCATCTGCCAGGAATGTGAGCCGGCAGCCCCAGACTGGGATCATGGAGAGGTCACGAGGCTGTCCCTGCTAGTGGATTAACCCAAGGGAAAGGAGAGGTTCTTTATTCCCAAACAGCGCCTCTTGCAAGTCCCAGCTCCTGGGTCTTGCTGCCAGACCCAAACATGGCCCTGTGCCTGCTTCTTCTCCAGGAGGGCAAATCATCCAGTTCCCTGTACCTTGTTCTCATGTCTTAGGGACAAGACAGGGAGGGAGAGTCATATTTGGGCCTAAATGGGGTGTGGAGTGGGAGAACCTGTGTCATGCCTGGAAATAGCAAAATAAGTCTGTTGATCCTAAGCTGATTAAGGGTGAGTGACTCTGTCTTAAGAGGAGGCTTTTTGGACACAAAATCAGGGGCGGGATTATGGAGAGAGACGGCCCACAGCCTCAGAGGAGGAAGCCAGGCCCTGGAACCTCTACATCCTTGTTAGGGCCAACAAGGAAATGAAAAACAGACCTGGGTCTTCCTCCCCCCTCCACTTACCAGCCACCCCTTCTCCATCCACTTTCAGAGACCTCTCCTTGGGGGCCAGATCTGGAGGAGGGACCGCATGGAGTCCCCCTTCAGAATGGACCTGCAGATGGGCCTTCAGTGAGCCAGAGACCCCACACTGAGAGTCCAGGCTGGAGAGGAGCCAGCTTACCTAGTAAAATATGGCTGGATATGTACTTTCCTGTTTCTTTTGCCACAAATCTATGTACCTGACCCCTTTTTTAGACCCCACACTCAGTTACATTCTCCCCATGTTTCCCAATTTGGTTTTGTTGGTTTCAACATCAACACCTCTCTTTTCTGGGTTCCCTGTGAAACTCACACAACCTCTTTTATACCCTTGCACACACTGTTTTGTCATTTGCTCCCAGCACCCAGCACTTTGGGCACATGAAGACAGGCCCCATCTCTCCCAGGCAACCCAGAATCCCAGTCTGACACGGAGAAGCTGCTGATCAACCAATGCCCTCCCGCCCTGCCTTGGCCCACACCCCAAGCCTTCCTCAGTCCCCTACAGCCTCTGCCATTACCCAGCAGCACCAAGGACTCTCTGGCCCACTCTGTGTGTTCAAACTCATTCCTGCCTCCTCCTCCTCCTCCTCCTCCTCCTCCTCCTTTATTTTTCACATTGCCTCATTTTTCTCTCCTATTTTGAAATTTACATCTTGTTCCAAGAACCAAAGCATCTTTACAAGCTGCACCAAACCATTCTTGAAATAAATTCACCAAATAAATAAGTAACCAGGGGGTGACCCCTTGCCCACAAGCATCCACAGCCAAAATTGTGTGTGTCATGTGGGTCCACACCCACCCTCAGGGGCCCTTCTTACTTATGTTTAAACTACCTGACAGTATCTCAATGTCCTGTAAGCGTGTCTTTAAGCTGCTTTTATTCCCTTCCTGGGCAAAGTGAGGTTATAAATATGGAGATATTAAAATCACAGGGTGACCCAATCCAGCCTAGGTCTAGGACTTCACAGGGAACCAAACTCTACTCCACCCAGCAAGCCTCTGTTGTCTCTCTGTGCTCTCTCTCTTATTCATCAGTGTCCATCTTCTTGCTGTGGCTTTTATGGGTCCCTGTAAAACCCTCTCTCAACAAAGTAGAAGTATAACAGTATTGGATAATCAAAAGATGGAGTGACCAGTGCCACATGGGAAAGGTCTGAGTGGGTTGGTCCTCACCTCTGGGGACTCAGTCCTGGCCCCTTCCCATTACTAATCTTCATCTTTGGGAACTAAGCCAGAGTCCTCCAGCCGTAGTCCTCAATATGGGGATGCAGGCAGATCCCCCCAGTCCAGAAGCCCCCAGATCCCAGACTCACCTTGGCAGCCACAGAGGAATTGGGCTTCTCCAGTAGGTCCCAGAGTTTTTTTCCTCTTCTCTGCGCAGCACGTGTTATCGAACTCCTCGCCTTCCCGCTCCCGTAGGGTCTCGGCCTCACGCTTGAGCTCTTCGTTCATCTGCTCCTTCTTCTGGTGGTAGCGGGCCTGGCAGCAGGACTCCAAGTAGATCTCGTCGATGCCCCAGTAGTCGAGCTCTTGGCTGAAGCTGAGAGCGCACATCTCCTCCATCATGTGCAGTCGTCCCGTGCGGTAGAAGTTGAGGATGGAGGTGAAGGCGCCCGGGTGGCGATCAAAGAAGTACTCGTTGTCGTCGAGGCTGTAGTCGTCGCACACCTCGAGCAGCGAGTCATGCGTGTTGCAGTCACGGAGCTTGCCCAGCCGCGTGCGGGGCAGGCGGTCCAGGGTACGCCAGAGCACCTCGTGTGCCAGCCCCCCGACGTTGAGGCGGACCCGCCGAGAGCACGCCTTGCTGCGCACGATCTCCATGGGCTCGGGCGGCAGCGAGCTGGTGGAGCGGGAGCCATGCTTCGTCATGCCCGCCGGCATCGCTGTTCCGGCCGCCCCCGCCCCCCCTGCCCCCCCAGGCCGCTGTCACTCGACGGCAAGGCCCGCTGCTGCAGGGGAGGGGGGCAGGGAGCGCTGTGGGCTGCTGGGGGTGCAGGGGCCGCGCGCGCGCGCGTCACGGCCGTCTTCTCACCTCCATCCCGACGGCTGCGAGGCAGAAAGCGAAAGGGGACGCGGGTCAGCAAACGGGGAGCTGGGCATGCCGCCCCCCCAAAACCTGTCCACGAGGCTCGCAGCCGGCCTTGACCTTCCCGGCGTTTAAGCGGCTCAGTGGGGTAAGACGGATGGGCGCTGTCCCTCCCGCCGGTGCTGAAGTCCGCCCCACCCGATGGATGCAGGGAGGGGCCGCCCCTCAGGGCGGGGAGAGGGCCCCAAGAGATGCCCCTGGAGCTCGGCAGGCCCCACCCCGGGCTTCCGCGGCCTAGGCGCAACCCAGCCGCCTGGGGCGCTGTCCGCCCTTTAAAGTGCTGAAACTTGCTTCTCTATAGGGCTCCTGATCGAATCCCGAACCTGGCCCCGCCAAAGGGGACGGAGGGGGAGCTGCATGAAAACTTTATCTTTTTCTTTCTTTCTTTCTTCTTTTTTTAAAAGGAGTTCTCATCGTTTCCTTCTCCTGCTCAATATAATCACGATTTGGGAGGTGGGGAAATGGCAGTGAGCTTCTTTCTAAATCTTAAAAGATTTGGGAGAATTCTGGGGTTCCAGGTGCCCACCTGTCCGAGGTCACAACAGACGGGGTGTGCACAACAGCCCCTCTGCCCTGGAGCGACCCCTTTCCCCAAACACCGGAGCATCTCCTGAGGTCGCTCCAGCTCCGAGGTGAGCTGCGAGGAGGAAAACTCGCCCCTCCCTCTGTGCCCCCAACCCTACCTCAGGAGGGGCGGGCAGAGTCCTCGGGATCCGCCTGCTCTGTCCTCCTCTTGTTCCTTCCCCGCCCCCTTCCCCCCTCCTCCTCCTCCTCCTCCTTCCCTTCTCCTCTCCCTCCTCCTCCTCCTCCTACTCCTCCTCTCCTCCTCGCTCCTCTCCTGCGAAGGCTTTTTATAACTCCGGGTTCTGCGCCTTTCCCCGGGCTTGGAAGGGAAGGGATGGGGGAGGTGGGAGGCGGGGAAATGAGCTAAATTTTCTGGCCTTTTCAAAACGTGCCCTCCTACCGCGCACTGGTGATTTCGGGGGGGGTTTCCCTGAGCACCGCCTGCTTGTAGGGCTCACGCCTTCGCCCCAGAATGGGGATCGCGCCCCCCTCTCCAGCCTCAGCCCTTGTCTGCCACCACCCTGCTCCCCTCCAGCCTGGATCCACGGAGGCTGGGCAGACCAACAGGCCGAGCTGCGCCAGGCAAGCCCCCCGCCCGTGTCCCCAAGCACCCCCACGGAAGGCCGCACGCCCCAACACTCACCCCCAGGGCGGCCGCCTCCCGGGGCCAGGGACCGCGCATCGTCCCGGCCGCCCGGGCGCCCCCGCCCGTGGGCAGCGGCGGTCCCGGGGCCGGGCTGGGCCGGGCCTACCCCGGCCGGGCAGGCGACGCGACCGGGCTGCAGGCGCCGCGGGGCCGGGACGCGCTCTCCGAGGCAGGGGGCGCGGGCGGGCGCCGGGGGCGCGGGGGCAGGACCGCGGCCGCGCGGCGCTTCCTCCACCTCCTCCTCCTCCTGCTTGCTCGGTGGCGGCGGCAGCTGCCTGGCGAGATCAACAAGTCGGGCTGAGCTTCGGCTCCGCGCTCCCTGCGATTCTGTCCCGCACTTCGGAGCGCCCGGAGCCGGGCACCGAGGCGGGACGGCGCCACCTGCGGGTCGGAAGCGCGCGCGCGGCTTAACTCCTGCCTGCCCGGCCCCGCCTGCCCGGGAGGCCGGGGGCGGGCTCCGGGCTCCGGCAAAGGAGACAAGCGTGGCCGTGCATCCCTCTCCACCCGGGCCAACCTGCACAGCCGGTCTCGCGATCTTGCCTTCCTTCGTTCCGTCAACAACGTGGGTTGAACGCCTCCCGGTCGTGAGGCACGGTGCGGGGCACGGTGACAGGCGTCTGAGATACAGCTGTGAATCAAACACAAACATCCGGCCCTCGTGGAGCCGGTTGGAAACAGATCATAAACAAAAAAGCAAAAGGATCTATGAGGTGCTGACAAGCGCCGGGGGAAATAATGAAGCAGTAGGGAGGGTCAGAGGGTGGGAGGGGGCAGATCCGAACTGTAAATAGCCTTTGCTTTCATGAGCTTCCATTCTAGATTTTAACGCGGGGAGGAGGCGGGGAGGGACAATGAGCACATCAGTACATATGCAATGTGGCAGGTGGTGATAATCGCTAAGAAGAAAAATAAAGCGAGGTGGGAGGAAGAGTGAGGAGTGAGCTGGCTTATATAGTCTGGTGATTCATTCATTCATTCATTCATTCATTTATTCATTTATTCATGTTAAGTTGGACATCTGATTATTGACAGCTTCCTATGTGCAGGCAGAATGCCAGGCTCTGAGAAGGAAAAGTCTTTCCCCTGGAGCTCCCTATTCAGTGGGGGAGGCAAAACCCATCAGATAATCCCAGAAATGAATATAGAACTGGAGGAGGTACCTGGAGAGACTGGCAAGGGTTTCCTAAGGATGTCACAGTTGGGCCTTGTAATCTCAATGCTTTGGGGGGCTGAGGCAGGAGGAGGATGGCTTGAGCCCAGGAGTTGGAGACCAGCCTGGGCAACATAGTGAGACCCCATCTCTGCCAAAAAACTAAAAAGTTAGCTGGGCATGGTGGTGCGTACCTGTGGTCTCAGCTACTCAGGAGGCTGAGACAGGAGGATCACTTGAGCCCAGGAGGTCGAAGCTGCAGTAAGCTGTGAGTGCACCTCTGGATAACAGAGTGAGACCCTGCCTCAAAAAAAAAAAGGTGCCGGAGATGGGTAGGTGCCGGAGATGGGTAGAGCAGTGAGCTCCCTGCCTTGGAGGGTGAAAACTGAACAAGATACAGGTCCCAACAGGGTTCCTCTTTGGCCCTTTCCTTCATTTCCAAAATTAAGGAGTTTGTTTTCATAGAGCTGCACATAATATTATTACATATTTTTAATCCGTCCACTTATCATCTCCATCATCACGATCCAATGTACCATGGTCTTGTCTCCCTGCAACCTGGCCTCCCTTGCTCTTGCCTTGGTCTCCTACAGTTCATTCTCCCCATGGCCACTGGAACAACTGCTACATTTCATGAATTGGACCATGTTTCTCATCTGCTTAAAACCCTCCCAGGACTTTCCCTTGCTTTATACTAAAACCTAAACTTCTAACCTATTGCCCTAATTCAGCCCTGCCCCCTTCTCTGAGCTTGTAGACCAGTGGAGGAAGACAAGCAACTAAAAAGGTGAATTTTAAAACGAGAGAGTTTCAGGCTATGCTGAGTGTTATAAAGGAAATGGAACGTCATGATGGCGTGGAAACGGGACCAAGCTGCTAGCTTTACACTGGGTGGTTAGTGAGGGTGTCTTGGAGGAGATGAATAGAGACTTGAAAGATAAGAAGGGACCAGCCACAGAAAAAATGAGGAAAGGGCATTCCAGGTGGAGGAAACAGCAAGAGCAGATGCCCTGGGCTGGAAAGGGGAATGAGCTATGTTAAGGAACAGCAAGGCAACCAGACAGGCTGGAACAGAGGAAGCAGGAGGGACCATGATGGTGGGGCAGGAACTATGCAGGCTCATATGGGCCGTGGCAGGAGCTTTGGCTTTTATTCCAGGGAAGTCACTGGAAGTTTTGAGCAGAGTGACTTAGGTTAGACTCAGGACACTCTGGAGAACAGACAGTGGGAAGCAGGGGTAGGAGTGGGGAGACCAGCAAGGAAGCTGTGTAGTTGCCAGGTGAGAGTTGATGGCAGCTTGATCCAGGAGGGTGGTAGTGGAAAAAAGTGGTCACGCAGGGTCTATATCAAGGGTAGTGCTGTAAGGATTTTCTGATAGTTGGATGCGGGCTGTGAGAGAGAACAATCACCTTCCCTCCTGCTTCAGGTTGGCGCTCCTAGGGTCAGAAAGGGTTCTCAGCTTGTCCCTCAGTAAGCCTAAGCTGCTGAAGGGAACCTTTCCCCAGAGATCTTGGAATTCCCACAGGAGGCTGCAGAAAAACAGTAAATCCTTCCTGATGACAAGAAAAAAATCACTCTACAATGGTGAAATTTCCATTCCAGTTTCCAGTGGTGAAATGCAGGCATCACTGCAGGCATTACCGTGCCTTCCAGGTACAGCTAAAATAACCTAGAAGTGCAGTTCTTCTCCAATCCATACAGCCAAGGAGTGGGGATGAATGTTGGGCACCTGCTACAGAGAGTCCTCTGAAGGTATAACATTTAGTCAGCATCCACATCTGTAAATAACAGAGGAGGTTATTTACAGATGTGGAAGCTGAAGCTCCGGGAGAAGGTGCCTTGCCCAGTATCTTGCTGGCGAGTGCTGGCACAGCTAGATGTGGCAATCTCTTGTTTGACTCCAAAATCAACAAGGCTATCCAAATGCCAGAGCAGGCTCTCTGCAAAGTCCTTCCTCCATCAATTCATTTACTGATTAATGGAATCATTCTAGATGTTTACTGAGCATCTACTATGTGCCTCAGCATGGGTGTTGGTGCTGGGAATTGAGGATGAATAACTGACAAGGTCCCTGACCTCATGGAGCTACACATCTCTCTTGCCAAAGCCAGAGGAACAGACAGAAACCTGATGCTTGTTTTTCTTCTGTATTGTTGTATTCATGTTTAAATTCCCTTTTATCCGCATTCCCCTCCTGCTACCCTTTCTAGCCCATAGGAAATGATTGTCATGTGTCAATACATATTGTTTCGTTTGGGCTTGTTTTTGGTTTTTGCTCATAGAGATGGGGACTCACTCTGTCTCCAGGTTGGAGTGCAGTGGCACGATCATGACTCACTGCAACCTAAAAATCCTGGGCCTCCAGTAAACCTCCTGCCCTGGCCTCCCAGTGTTGGGATTACAGGTGTGAGCCACTGTGCCTGGCCTGTATATTGCTTTGTTTGTATGTATGA